ACAAAAAAGATTGAAGAAGTTGTTTGTTTCTCAACTAAAATGTGAGAGCTCCATTGCATATATTTAACACCAAATACATATTCAGCACACACTCAAAAACAAATAAGAATGTATTCAACACCGAATCATAAATAACCAAATACGTACCTAAATTAAAATCTAAGCACCGAATTAATCAATTTAACAAGAACAAAAAAATACATTGAGCAAAATGAAGTACCCGACGGTCGCAAGCTGAGCAAGGAAGAACGGATAGTTCTTCAGAGGAACCAACGCGAGCTTGTACAGTACTCTGTTTCCTACGCCCATGACCACCGTCACCGCGGCGGCGATAATCACCTCCGCCGAACGATTCACGCTCTTCCTCCCACTCTCCGACGCGAACTCCTCAACCGCGCACAAGCGCGGTCCCGCCTTCTCTCCCTCCTCATCTAATCCCGATCTCGCCCACGCGCCGCCGTACTTCGCGGCGCACGGCGGCTGCGTCAGTCGTAGAGCGATTTTCGGCCTCCAAGGCGAGTAGCCGTAGCGGACCGCAGAGGTGCTCGGCGGGCAGCGGAGGCGAATTTGCCCGCAAGACAAGGTACAGCCGGCGGCGGGGGAGCGCCGGAAAAGTGACGTCATGGTTGCGTGACGTAATTTGAGAATCCGAAGTATAGAGAGAGAATGGGAGAGGAGAAAATGCGAGTCACATGAGTCACGTTGGTCTGAACTCAGAACAGAGGGAAGGAATCGGAAACTGTGTTTTGTTTAAAACCAAGGTTTGTGGTTGTGTTTTAGGATTTTTTAAAATGAAAGGTGGTATCTTCAATAATACCTTGAAATAATTTTAATTTTTCTTACCATATATTTTTCTCTTTTCAAGAGCACCATAAAAAATGCAATNGAGCTTTACGGGAGGGGTATGTGGGTGAAAAGGTCGAGGGGAGGTACGACCTGGGGAATTACGGGAAGAAGATTCTAGGTTTGACATTTGGGATATTAGGTGGTCAAGTTGTGTTTTGAGGACATCGTGGTTGGCCATAAGAACTGACTGGTTTGTGGTAAGTTTAAGAATGGCTTCCTCCATTTTATCAGAGGAGGTCTTAGAACGAGTGGTCATTTCTGACATTGGAAGGGTCAATGAAAGCACCAAATTGATAAGGAAAACAACTACCTTGATTCGAGGACAAGGCAACCTCCTTGAAATTATAGAGATAAGGTGAGAGAAATAAATTTTTCCAGCTACTATTCTCATTCATTCTGCTGAAATAATTACATGTATTGGTTGTCAATCATTGGCTGACCGTATTTGGAGGATATAGAAACTAACAAAGGAATATTCCCCTAACAGAACCTATGATCAAGTGACACCTCACAAAGATATCTTTATAATATGATTCTGTCAAACGTCTTCCTCAAAGCTGATAATCCAAAAGATATTGTGTTTTCTTACTCTCTCTTTTAGTCAGAATGGTGCTACTGGGCCTTATATCATTATTGGCCCTATTGCTAAGTTGCAAGGCTGGACTGCTTTTGCTAACAATGTCTCTCTACTTAAGAGGGCAATGCAGCCTACAACCTCAGTTCAACCTCTTCCATCTGCTTTGACTGAAGATATTATGTTAGAAGTCCAGCTAGAATTAGTGCTGCCTTTGAAGTTTTGTTTCAATGGCAGAATCTTCCATCCATTGAAAACAAATGGGAGGATGGTACTGTTCTTACTAAGGAGTTCCCTACTTTTCACCTTGAGGACAAAGGTGAAACTTCATGGAGGGTATTGATAGGTTGAAAGGGAAGGTTTACAGAAAACTGTATGATGTAGTTTATTGTATGACATACAGTTTTAATTATCTATAAGGTAGTTACTTGTCTATAGTTAGTTGCATCTCACTTCTATAAAGTAAGAATGGACAGTTTTAGTTGTTACTATCTTTGTTTTGTAACTTCTAAAGGTTAGGGAGGGAGAGTTTGGTTCTCTCTAATAACCATAAAGTTGTATGTTGTTTGGGTCCTCTCTTCAGAGGAAACTCAATGAATGTTATAATACATTTTACAGTTTAACCAATTTAATTCATATAGGTCAGTAATACCTATCAGTCATTTACTAATAAAGGCATTTATTTAAAAATGTCAAGTCATATTTTAATCCTGGTTACTTCCCTACGCATAAAAGATATCTTGGTTACTTCCCCAATACACACTGTTTGTTTTAAGTGAAAAAATAAATAAAAAAATAATAGGAGGGAAATAAATAAATAAGTAGGATAGGAGAAATTAACTTCCATTGTTTGGTTATCCTTGAAATGGAAGGAATATGGGTCTCATGAAAATTGCATCAGCCCCTCTAGACATGAAATTAGTTCCATCAATATCCATATAACAACTTTTTAAAATGAATAAATAATATTTTGTAACAATTTAAATTTTAAATAATGTAATAAAAATTAAACATTAATATAAAAAATCATTTAATTCTTGATTTTCATTTTTCATCAATCCAAACTAGAGATGGCAACAGATCGGGTCGGGCACGGTAGTGCCTATCCGCAATCTGACCCGTTGGATAAAACTGTACATCCTATCCGACCCGCTACCCATATGGATACCCATTTAAAAAATACCCGTAGGTATTTTAAAACCCACGGGTACCAACGGATACCCGCAAAAAATAAAAAAAAAATATTTTATACATTTTAAAAATAAAATTACAAAAAATATATATAATATAATATAAATTAATCAAATATAAAAATTAAAATTTAATTTTAATAAAATTTAACCTAATAAAATATAATTTTATTTTATTTTTAATTAAATTCAATTAAAAAATATATAGATTATTTTTTTTATATACTATCTATCCGACCCGTTTAGAAACGGGTATTAAAATACCCACCCACAAATAGTAAATATGTACGATAATAACTAACCGCTGCAGATTTTACCCTTCTAGATTTCTTTATTCTATTTTATTTATAATCCAATCAGCACATAAAGTTGTTGCTGTATAGTTTTATCTAACAACAGAAATGACAGAATGATTAGAAATTCTTACCCGATCTTACAACAGTTCCATTTTCTACCAAATACTGAGCGCTAGAAACTAAAACTCGCTCCTCAAGGTTAAGAAGATTCACCCCAAAATAGAAAAGAAATATAGTCGCCAGCCACAAATAATGCTCTGACCCACTCGAAAAGGGTCGGGTAGGACCCATCAAAATGATATTTGCAAAACAATGCTCAAACCACTACCTCCAAAACCAAAATAGAAAAACACGTATTGTCGTGCCTTTTCACAATTTTTATTTCTTGGTAAGAATAGAAAGATGAAAACAAACAATTAATTTAACACGCTACAAAATCAGTCTTGATTAAACAGTTAAGTAGCAGTAAAAGAGCGAAAAACATGAACATAATCAGAGTTAATAAGGATTTATAATAAATAATTATAACAACAATAATAAAAGCAAAACCCATTTTGGTTTATACATTTCTATCTATTTTACCCTCTAGCTGCACACTACAACAGATTCTATTTTTCCTGTGCTCTATTCAATTTTGTTCCCTTTTATCTTCCCACTTGTCTTTACCCGTGAATGCGGTTCCATTTTCTATTCAATATTTCTCTCTCAATTTTTCAATTTTCCCTTATGATATTACCTAAAAATATAATTGCACTGTGTTTTACATTAGCAATAATAGTAACTAAAAAACAAAAATAATTTTGTTAAACCCAACAAAAAAGATTGAAGAAGTTGTTTGTTTCTCAACTAAAATGTGAGAGCTCCATTGCATATATTTAACACCAAATACATATTCAGCACACACTCAAAAACAAATAAGAATGTATTCAACACCGAATCATAAATAACCAAATACGTACCTAAATTAAAATCTAAGCACCGAATTAATCAATTTAACAAGAACAAAAAAATACATTGAGCAAAATGAAGTACCCGACGGTCGCAAGCTGAGCAAGGAAGAACGGATAGTTCTTCAGAGGAACCAACGCGAGCTTGTACAGTACTCTGTTTCCTACGCCCATGACCACCGTCACCGCGGCGGCGATAATCACCTCCGCCGAACGATTCACGCTCTTCCTCCCACTCTCCGACGCGAACTCCTCAACCGCGCACAAGCGCGGTCCCGCCTTCTCTCCCTCCTCATCTAATCCCGATCTCGCCCACGCGCCGCCGTACTTCGCGGCGCACGGCGGCTGCGTCAGTCGTAGAGCGATTTTCGGCCTCCAAGGCGAGTAGCCGTAGCGGACCGCAGAGGTGCTCGGCGGGCAGCGGAGGCGAATTTGCCCGCAAGACAAGGTACAGCCGGCGGCGGGGGAGCGCCGGAAAAGTGACGTCATGGTTGCGTGACGTAATTTGAGAATCCGAAGTATAGAGAGAGAATGGGAGAGGAGAAAATGCGAGTCACATGAGTCACGTTGGTCTGAACTCAGAACAGAGGGAAGGAATCGGAAACTGTGTTTTGTTTAAAACCAAGGTTTGTGGTTGTGTTTTAGGATTTTTTAAAATGAAAGGTGGTATCTTCAATAATACCTTGAAATAATTTTAATTTTTCTTACCATATATTTTTCTCTTTTCAAGAGCACCATAAAAAATGCAAGAGTGATATTTATTTTTCTTTTAAAAGTATTAAGGTAAATAATTTAATATTAGAAAAAGTATCTGAAACTTAACTTTTTTTTTCAAAAAACATCATATAAAATAAAAGGATTATCTTAATTTATAAATTATAAATCAGTTTTATTTCTAATTAACTCAAAAAACAGCATATATAACATATATAGCAAAACAAAGAGTATAAGAAGTCATGGTTTAACCTTATCAAAATGCATGGAATGAATTGAAAGAGGAAGAGGCAAAGAAAATGCCTCTAAAGGAATCAAGAACAATATTCTTATGAATATGATATTTTTTTATCGATAATGTTATACAAATAAATATGTGTATTTGTTGATGAATTTAGTGAAAAGAATAAACGTTTTGTTGGTATGAGATATAACTTTTGTTGGGAAGTTATGTTATAAATTGATCATTTTATGCATGAAGCTAAGGATGATGAAATAATACGTGAATATCCCTTAAAGAAGCTAACAATTTTTTTGTAGAAAAAGTTGTTAAATCCATTTTTTTTATAGACAATTATAATAAAAGGGTTTAGTAAAAACAAGAGCAGATATTTTAGTTTAGTATATATGTATGTGAAGGAGTGCTTGTTGAATCCAACCGAACTAAAGACTCACTCTAGTTCTATCTCGTATTCACTCTCTGACTCATCGTTTCCTATTATCTATTTCTCCGTCTCGGTCGTTGCATTCAGCTTCAGTTTTCATCTCCAAAGTTCCGTTCCGTTACACCTTCCTCTCCGTTGCGCCTACATTGCAGGTAATTTTCATCTTTCGTTTTTATTTAGCACTAGAATGGTGGGAACGAGAATGGATTTAGGGTTTCATTGTTGACAATAGCGGGAGAGGTTTTAGGGTTTTGCTGTTGACAGTTTAGGAACTGATTTAGGGTTTTATAGTATTATCTTAACTCTAAACTTAAATACCCAAGTTGAAAATGCTTTTTGTGTGCTGATGCTTGGTGCTCCCTGGATCTTTATTAAATCACTTTTACAGTGAGTTGGCCTGGTATATTAAAAGCGTAGCCATTATTTTCTTTCCAATATCAATGCTAACTGCTTTTAGGGACTAGGAACTATGAAACCTCATTCAAGCTCCACCGGAGAATTTTCAATTGGATAATAACGACTTTCTTCGATTTCATGCGACCCTGAGACTACTGCTCTACTATCTTCAGCCGTAATTATAGGCAGTGTATGCTAAATTCCGTTTCTCTATATCTCCCTTTGTATTGCTACTCTTTTTGCTAATATTGTTATTATTATATGCTGTAGATTGATGGTGATTTTCCGCCTAGAATCTATAGACTATGACTTTTGATTTAAAGACAAATACATCTTTAATTTTGACTGTGTATTTTTGAGCATTTGTATAAGTGTAGTATAAATCTTTGTCTTGCATTCTTAGTCTTTGATATAGCCTCTTCTCAGTAACTGCTATAGCATGGACAGCATTTTTGAGGTTGCTGCTGTCTGTGATTGGTAATAATAGTCTTGGATAGTAAATTAAAATAATATATTAATTATTTTCAGTTCAATAACTGTTTGTATGTAAGTTTAAAGGTAATTAGATGAATTGAAAGGTATATTTTGTATGATTTTGGCACCTTATATTATTAGAAGTATCTAGGTCTGCTAGTGTGTGTTTGTGTGTGATTGAAGTAGTTCCTTCCTTTTTTTCCTCCTGTGCTTGCAATTTGAATTTATTTGGCTTCCATTTGGTCGAGTTCTTCCAATTTTTGCGTTCCTTTAAAAAAATTTACACTCATGAAATTCATGGGAACCTTTCCCTTCAACTGTACTTCCTTTGTACAATTTAGAATATAGTGACAATGACAGTGTCTTCAACTGTGTTTGTTGTTTCATTGGAGGTTGGACCTCATGATAATAATGCTAATTGCAAAATCAATTGATAATGGATTTTAAACAGGCAAAATTCATTTAGTGTTAATCTACAATGGCCAGATGGGATGCAATCTTATCTCTTCCAGTACAAAATCCTCCCACATTGGAAATTTCTTCTACTGACCTAGTTTGGTCAAAAGTGGAAGGTTGGCATGATAAATTAGATAAAGTTGCTCTAATCCCATTTGCTAGAGTTGATGATTTTGTGAGGGGTGAATCAAATAATAAAGAATGTCCTACAAGATTTCATGTTGAAGCAAGGCGTCGACGGTCTCCATCAACGCCTTTCAAGCAAAAGGTTGATGGCATACTAGAGTACATTTTGTAAGTTGTAATTTTCTTTATTGGGAATAACTTACTTGATGTTACTGTCTTTTGCATTCTACTGCAATGTAGAGATTAATACCATCTCAATGTAGGTATTGGTGTTCCTTTGGTCCGGATGACCATAGAAAAGGTGGTATTGTCCGACCTAGTCGAACTACGTATGTTCCAAAGAAGAAAAATGCAGGTAGACCAAATACCAAGAGAGGTTGTACTTGTCATTTTATTGTGAAGCGCCTTATAGCTGAACCTTCAGTTGCCCTAATCATATATAATGATGATAAGCATGTGGACAAAAAGGGTTTGCCATGCCATGGTCCACAGGACAAAAAGGCTGCTGGAACACGTGCTATGTTTGCTCCATATATCTCAGAAGATCTCCGACTTCGGGTTTTATCTCTTCTATATGTTGGAGTCTCTGTGGAAACCATTATGCAGAGACACAATGAATCTGTTGAGAAACAAGGTGGTCCATCTAACCGTGATGACCTTTTGACCCACCGTTATGTTCGACGACAAGAGAGGGCAATCCGTCGTTCTACGTATGAGCTAGATGATGATGATGCTGTTAGTATAAGCATGTGGGTTGAAAGTCACCAAAATCAGGTTTTTTTCTACGAAGATTTCTCTGATGCAGATCCATTTACTCTGGGCATTCAAACAGAGTGGCAATTGCAACAATTGATTAAATTTGGAAACCGGGGTCTGCTTGCCTCAGATTCAAGATTTGGTACAAATAAATTACAGGTTTGTTACTTCCATTTTCCCTTGATTTGAAGTAACCAAAAACATATTTGCTTTGGTTTAGTTTTCTTGAAACTAAAAGTAAGCATGCTGGTAATTGTTATCCAGTATCCCATTCATAGTCTTCTAGTGTTCAACTCAGACAAGAAGGCCATTCCAGTGGCATGGATAATAGCACCAAGGTTTTCAAGTTTAGATGCACATCGATGGATGAGGGCTCTTTACAATAGAGTTCACACCAAAGATCCTACTTGGAAGTTGGCTGGCTTCATAGTAGATGATCCATTATATGATATTCTAGCAATCAGGTTGGTTCAAATTTTATGTGATATTTTCTATTGTTAAAGGTAGCGTTCTTTTAATGTTGAATAAGTATAGCAATGCATTGCAAACTTTTATTTTTATAGTGACGTCTTCCTGTGTTCTGCTTTTTCTGTCAAGACCAAAATTAATATTTTCATCTGTTTAAGTGTTTTTGATTCATGTGGCTTATTGTTGTTAAAATTCAAATTTCGTGCTTGTGTGCGAAAGAATTGAATTTGGGAAATAATTGCTCTTAGAAAGTGTCTTTGATGCTTGTAAGGACCTTGTGGGGTGCTTGTGTAGTTTGCTTCTGTGGTGATGCTATTACTGTTGATGATTGGTTCTGATGCTGATATAGAAGTTGTTTTTTGTATTTTTAAAGCTGAAGTATGAAACCTAGTTGTTCTTTACTCTATCAGTTCAAGGAATTTATTTTACCCCAACAACCTCTTTGCTAACAAGTATCTATATTCTATATTTTTTCAGGGATGTGTTTCAGTGTACAGTAATGATTAGTTTCTGGCGAGTTCGTCATTTATGGCATAAAAACTTAGTAAAGTGCTTGAAATCTGATATGCAAATAAAGATATCCAGACGGCTTGGGTGCATAGTGGATAATATTTGCCGTCTTCAAGGAAACACATCACTCTTTGAAGAATTCATGGAAGAGTTTATTGATGAATCCAAATTTATGGACTATTTCAAGTCCACATGGCATCCTAGAATAGGTTAGTAATACCTAGATAGTGGAATGCGATTTATTTTCTTATGAAATTGAGAAGTAACAGTGCGCCCACAATCTATTATAACTGTTCTTGTCCTTATTAGATTGATGCCCTATTCAGGAATCTAACATCTGCATTTACTTTGACACTAGTCTGTGCTCTAATTAAATGCTATAATTTTGATGTCAAAATTATGTATACATGAAAAATATTATTTTAATTGGGGGGACAAAAGTAGTTTTTCATGATCATTTTCTAAGGTTATGAAGAAACTCTTAATAATTAATAATGTTCATAACAATATATTATCCTTTAAAAATAATTTTGACAGTTTAGTCACCCACAGACCCATTTATAATATAGCATATTAAATAAAGAAATGGAATCCATTACCTATCCCAGATATTAAACATCATTTCTCAAAGACGCACGTGGAGGCAAATTATATTTCTTATGAAGATGGTAATGGTTTTTCAAAATAATATAGATTCATTCATATTATGGTAAAGATTTTGTTACAATGACAACAAAGAGTTGGTCAACTTGATTGATGCCAATACATTATCGTGATGAATATTATCAATCTTCAAGTGTAGTAGTTTTGAAAGTTGACTTTACTCATGTGCTATTTATGTAATTTTAGTGGTAGAATATGTTTAGAAATTTATATGTGCGATGATGTGATGTTCAAGGCTTCTTATCTGAATATGTGCGCGGTCTTTTACTGGTTTGCTCTTGTTTGGTGGGAAAAACCACTGCACATAATATACTTATTAACTGGTTGTGACTGTTGCTGTTTGTTTTTTCCAACTTATTAAATTTGCAGGATGCTATTTCCTGAGTATTTCGGTTAATACAATATCAATCAGGTTGAGGATAAAATCATAATGTTTGTATGGGATATTTTTATAATGTGAATTTGTTATTGTAACTTTATGTACATTGAAATTACTGTCCCTTTGATATAGGAGCATGGGTCAATACACTTCAAACACTTCCACTTGCTAGCCAGGAGTCTTGTGCAGCAATAGAATTTTACCACAACCAATTGAAGATTAGGCTGTTGAATGAAAAAGAAATTGGTGTTTATCAGCGGGCAGATTGGTTGGTGGACAAGTTGGGTACAAAAGTCCACTCTTATTTCTGGCTGGATGAGTACTCGGGAAAAGATGATTTTGCACGATACTGGAAAAATGAATGGATGAGTGGTTTGACATCATGGCGCAAAGCACTGAACATTCCAGACGCTGATGTCTCAATAGAAGATGGATGTGCTAAGGTTACTGATCAAGATGATCGAGATAAAGTTTTTGTTGTCTGGAATACTGGTTCAATGTTGAGCATTTGTGATTGTAGTTGGGCACAAGATGGCAACCTTTGTGAGCATATCTTGAAAGTTCTCAGTATCTGCCGAAAGAGAGGGTCCGTTTTACCATCTGTCACCTTATTTCAGTATCACCAGGCACTGAATAAGATGCTGCATTGCCCCCCTTTTGATTCTTTAATTCGTGATCACGCGGTGTCATTGGCAGTTTCAGTTCGGAAGCAATTAAATACTCTACTTGATAAAGAAAGCGTCCAAACTGACACTAATTCCATGGAGAAATGGATCGATATTGATATTGCACTGGAAAGTTTCAGGGTTGTTTCTGGTAACCGGGGTCAGGATATGGTTATTAATAAGCATGTCATCAATGATGTCTTATCTTTGGATGGTGGTCAAGATAAATATCAATCAAATGAAGCCCCTGGATGTGCGACTGCAATGCATGATATCACCGATCATGGTGAGGATGGAGTTATCACTAGAAATGGCGAACGTTTTGAGAGTGCCAGTTTTATATCTGATATGGATGTTGATCCACTATCAAATTGTGTTAACCCTCCTGTCTTGCACCCTGTTGATGATACAGTTATAAGTAACACGTTGCAAGAGAACAAAGACTGGAGCTTGGCTTCTACAGGAAATGAGATTTCAGCTTCTGAAAGTGGTGCTTTTTCTAATGATAAGATTGAAGATAATATTTTAGATAAAGGTGGCAAAGATTGTGCTATGGATGTGGATTCCCCAACCTTGGCTACACCTTCATCAACTGTGACACCCGTTAAGCCAGTTGCAGTTGATATGGGTGAAGAAAATTCAGGTACCGTCAAGGAGGATGTGAGTTTGGGTTCAAATACCTGAAATCAAATCATGAATCAGAACACACAATGACAATTTAGAGATATAGATGCCAATAAAGATAAATTTTGATACACTCTGTAAAAAAGCGTTCGTTGTCAAGTAATTAGAAAATCATTATGGCAAAGGTCAATAATTTTTAATTATGACAATCCATAGTTGAATGAGTGTATAGAACTTATTCTAGTAGTGTATTTCAATTGTGAGGTGCATAAAGCTGTCAATGGCGATGGCACACTGATGTTGCGCAGTATTTCTCTATTATCATCTATTAAATCAAAAAGGCACGTCACTATTGTCTTACAAGATCTTTAGTGGTAAGGTTTGTACGATTAAAATGTTATCATAAATTAGAACTTCAGCACTGTAAGCCAAATATTCTAATTTATTATCAACAAATGCTGCAAAATAAGCTGATGGTGATTGTCACCCATGATAGAACTTGTCTTCTGGACTTATATCTCATGCGAAATCGTTATACTCTTTTCATCCAATCCTTTGATATAATTAAAAAATTTCCAAGAAGAAAATAAAAGAATTAAATTTTTTTTATGGACTAAAATTTACTCATGTATACTAAAATTAACATAAAAATAGATAAATGAGGAAATTTCTGCAAAATCACTTTGGTCAAAGCAGGAAAGGCTGGCATTGGAGGAATTTTTGGGAATGAACAAGACAGTGTCCTTTTTTGTGGAGCTTGTGCATCTTTACTAATAGCTCTATAAGAGTATATTTCAATTAGTTCATCTTTAAATTTTCTACAATTTAAAATAATTGGAAAAATAACGAAAACATTACTAACATAGGTTTGTGTCCAAAGGAGGGAGACTCTCATATTCTACTATTACATTGCCATGTTACTTTTTAGTTTTTTGGACCAAAGCTCTCACGAGGTTTCATTTTTGTTTTATGTATTGAACTCCTTTTCATTACAATTTCATATAGTTGATTTTGTTTCTGGGTTTCTCCTACATTTTTGTTTTCTGTTTCTTTTTCTGTATGCTTAAGTTTGTTTCTCACTTCCAATTTGATTCCAATTTTGAATTTCGTTTTCATTTCTGCTATATAGTTCGTTTTCTGATTTGAAAATCGTATTCTGGTATCAATTGTTGTTTTAGGTTTGCATTTTCTAGGTATTCATTTTGTTTCATTTTTAATTGTTGTTTTATTGCGTTTTGTTGCCTTGTTGCTGTTTTAGTTCATTGTTGTTGTTCTGTTCTTGACTCCAATGTTTTCCAGTTCAATTTGATGTTTACATTGTGTTTTAATGGTAGCTTAATTGTGTTGGGTTGGTGATTGGTGAAACTGCAATGTTTCCATGAGATAATTTGTGTTGTCATTGTGATTGTCTTAATTTTGCCTCACATCATATAATTCATTTGCGCTTGCAGTTAGTACACGCTTAGTTTCATAATCTATATTTAATCTTCACTTAGTAGTTACAACCACACATGCTTAATTTGTGGTAGGGCAAAACTGATTAATTGCGTGCACTATGATAATTGTTTTAATCTTCGCTTAGTAGGTTAATCCGTGTTGGATTAGGGTGAAAGGAGTGTATAATTATTGGTAATCAGGGATTTGAAGCATTGCGGTCGAACTAATAACCAACTTGTCCTTAACCAATGTTTTAATTCGTGTCTTCATTCATAATCTGCTCACACAAACCTCCCCCCCCCCCCCCCTCGTCCCCCCCACTACATGTTTGTTTTATTACTTGAACCACATTTAGTCCTTTAGAGACGACCTAGGAGTTACTTCCTAGTTTACTACACTTAATTTCATATTAATTTGATTCGGGTATGGCCTCGATCAAATTTTTAGTGTGTGTGTTGTGTTCTGTTTAGTGTGTGTGTCTTGGATCTTTTTTGTGTGTTTTGTTTTGTGGTTCTTTTGTGCCAAAATTAGGAGAATTAGAATGGTTGACATGAATTGGCAAGAAAATGCAATAGTTAGAGGTGTTATTTTTCTTTGAAATTTTTTATGCTCACTTCTTTTGGTCCATATTTTGATAGAAAAATCTCAGAAGCACTTGTAGTAGTCCCAGTTCTATTTTGTGAAAAACAGGTTTGTCAAAACTTCGTGCAAACGTAACTTTTGCTCCCAATGTCAAAATTGGACGTATTATATATGCTTTTTGGGTAAAAATTACGAGTAATCCATTTTGTTGATAAGGGAGCAATATGAATGCTGAACCCAATCTTTGATGATTTGATTTTTGATGATGACAACACATTGAATGTAATAACACACATATGTTATGCTAACACAACAGAAATCTATATTTGTGTTTGATACATGTGTTGGTTTACAAGTGTTTCTATATGTTTAATACATATGTTATCATGTTGATTGGTTTCCATACTGTTATGATCATAATTGTGTATATCTTCTGTATGCATGTTAAATGTTTTGATGAGATAAAATATCAAGCACAAAGCAATTATATGTATGATACAATCGATTACATTGATGTTGTAATCAATTGAACTCATAAGATAGCTTATGTTTTGAACTATGGAAAAACAACAGGTTTTGAATCGATTACATTAAGTGTTAAATCGAATAAAACTTGTGTCTTTGCAAACATCTTTTTGATATGTGCTGTGATGAGTTTTGAAGAGAAAAAGTTTTCAAAATTTTCTTAAGTGTTTAGCTTAATCAATTACACTATGCATGTAATCAATTAAGTCTGTTATGTTTTGAAAATTGTCTAAAAGCTAAGTTATAATTGTTTTAATGGTCATAATTTTAAATATGTTGACTGGATTTATTGCAAATCGATTATATTAATTGTGCATTCAATTATATCTGTTTGAATTGTAATTCTGTTACATCTGTCACTTATGTAACCGATTACATTACTAACGTAATCGATTAATCTGCGTCTCTTATGAGATATTTATATATTGACGCACTACATATTGAATTGTAACGAATTGATCATTTGAAATTTTCATATCTGGTATCTTTGATTAGACAAAAGTGTTATAGGTGATTGAGAAGCTCCAAGAACCAAGATTCAAATATTTGGAAGAAACTTGAAGGACTCTTAAGAAAAGAACTATGGACGTAATTGACTGATCATACTCTGAACTACTGAGGTGTTTCTACATTGATCAAAAACGTATTTTTGCAATCTCGAATTGTGGTTCCATGTTTGTGCTAGACAGGAAGAAGAACAAGGGATCTTGACTTTAAGAGGTGGTCTCAAAGGGTTCTACAGCAAGGACGTGTGGTTGTGTGTGCAGGTGTTTTCTTTCTATATTTGATTATGAGTGGGAGAGGTGTTTACATTGTGAGAGTGTGTTCTCTGTAAAACCTTTTGGTGTAAATCTCAAATCATTATAGTGAAAGATCCTCCAATCTAAGGTTGATTGGAAGGGTGACTGAATGTAGGCATTGAGGCCGAACCAGGATAAAAACCTTGTGTTTGTTCTTCTCTCCTTATCTATTTTACTTTGAATTGTATATGCATATTACTTAGATTACAAGAAAGATTCAAGATCATTCAAAGTTTGCGAAAATAT